ATTCCTTTAGGTAGAAAGGCAGCATTTGCAAAATCTTAACCAGAACAAAATCAGAGGTGGCAACAGCACATATATTAGATTGTCACAGAAAAGGGCACAAACTTAATACAAACTGAGTCATTTTACTCTGTAAAGGTAGATAATAATAACATTATTTTTGGTTCAGCAATATCAGCAACAAGAATATGAAGACTGAAAAGTATAATTAATCGTGTCTTTCTCTTTACTGGCACGATCTCAAAGTTTTAATAGAGATCTATTTAGATGAAGGGTTTGGTTCCAAATTTCATGTGAGAATAATTTTTTCATTGATAAAAGTCCAGAAATGAGATTTTGCAATGGGGTTAATGGCAAGTCAGACACTGAAGCCATGGGAGAGCAGTTGGATCTCTATGGTCCCAGATCAATTTGTCCACCAGAACCCCTTTCAACATTTCTCAAGCTTTGAAAGGTAGTCTAGAAAGCCACACTTATTAATAATTCATTCTCTCTTTTTTTCAAAGTCTTATACAATTCTCAATCAAGAGCTTCTGATCAGCTCTGATGACCATTGCTGACACCTGAACTGATACACCCCAACTAAACACAAAGGAACATAATGATTTAGTTATCCTGTAAGGCCTTATTTCAGAAAGCACAGATTTCATTAGATTCTATAAAACACTGAAACAAGGCTGTAGACTCCTGTTCAAACTTCACAATCCAACAGGAGACCATAATTCTCATAACAGGAACAACTTATTCTCTTGATCACAATAGAAGTACTTTTATTAATGAATTTCAAATTTGATTAGCTTGTGGAATGAATAGTGATCATTAAGGGCAGATGTAAAACTGCTCAATAACCCCCTCCCTCCTTCACCTTTCAGTTTTCTATGATAAAAGGATCTATTCACATAAGTAATATAAGAATTCCAAAAGGAGCACTAAGAATGGAATAGACACAGAGACTGAATATGCATGGGAAGCCATTTGGGTATTTATATTCAGCAGTGAGTTCATTACCACTCACTCTCTGCCTTCTTTGTAAACACTTTCTTCCTTTTATTCATAGTTACTAGTGCATCCTTCCCCAACCAATGCTCCTTGGGTCTGTTTCTACAAGGTCTACTCTGGTCACAGACACCCTATGTTATGGGCAGAATTGTGTCCCCCTCAAATTCATATTTTGCAATTCTATCCCCTAAATACCCCAGAATCTGAATGTACTTGGGGAATACGACAAGTTATTTAAAGAGGTGATTAAGAGATCATTAGAGTTGGCTTTGATCCACTAGTTTTGGTGACTTTAAAAGAAGAAGAAGAAACTTGGGGTTGGGCCATAGCTCAATAGTAGAGTACTTCCTGCCTAGCACGCACAAGGACCTGAGTCCCAGTGCTAGTCAAAAAAAAAAAAAAAAACTGGACACAGACATATCTCCAGAGGGAAGAACAGATAGAGACATCAAAAAACCACCTGGAAACCAAGGAAATAGGACTCAGAAAGAATCAAACCTGTACACACCTTGATCCTAGACGTCTAGCCCTCAGGACTATGAGGCAATAAGTTTCTGTTGCTTAAGGCACCTAGATTTTAGTACTTTGTTATTTAAGCCCTAGAAAGTCAATATATCCTAGGAAGCACAGATATGAATTATTTATAAAACATACATAAACCAATGAACAGGCTTCCTCAAAGTTGGATGTCTGGTGGCACAGGTTGAAGAATAAGATATTCGGTACAACTTAAGAGTTAGTAGAGAAGAAAACTCTACTACTATCTATATTTTTCTTTGGACTCACAAATTAAGTTACAACCATTCCCTAATGAATGGGGATGATACACCCATTATTACTAGCAACTTAATGGTGTTTTGTTGTATCAGTGATGTTTTCTACCCACGTGGCTGAGATTAAACAGAGTGTAAAGGAAGAGGAGTTTTGATGGGTAAAAGAATCCAGAAAGAAGAGGGAAGACAGGTTTGGAATCTGTACAATACTTGGCACAGAAAGTGGCAAGAAAGCTTATGTGCCCAAAGACTCAGAAATCCAGGAAGCTAAGGGGAAGCCACTTTTGTTGGGGCCAAATGCCCTGCACATCATAGGCAACGGCAGCTCAGGAGTTTTATCTGTTCCTCACCTCAGTCACAATCAAGGTGGGTCCAGACTCCATCAGTAGTGATTTCCTCTCAGGAAGTAGAGAATAGACTATTGCAGGGCTGTTCATCTCTCAGAGAAAGAGAGCCAGGCACCATCTCTCTTTCACTTCCTTCTGTGCCAAGGTAAACACTGTTCCAAGTATGACCTTATTGTGCCACAATCTCCATTTGAATTACATTTTCTTCAGAGTAGCTCAAAGCACTTCTGATAGAAAATGCTTCCTTTTTCATTTTCCATATACTTTGTGCTGTGCAAACTGCAGACCTACAATTTATCTCTCTCTAAAGCCCACAATACCCAGAGCAGGCATGTTACCAATTGCTTTGGTCTGGCCTCAGCATCACAACAAATCTCCTTTACTGCACCCCATGAACTCCATGGACTTACAGCTGGCACCTCCTTCTGCATTTGTCTTTTCCACACCTGTCATCAAAATGCTGGGTTTTCCTTTCAACATTGTAGGAAACAAAAACAGAGGCACTACGTGATATTCACAAGCCACGCTAAGTAAGAGAAATACCTAGAAATTTACCTGATACTAACAGAAATCAGAAAACATGACACCATACAAAAAATATCTTTCTGTAGTGTATGTAAGAGAAAGCAGAAAGCATATAATTAAAAATTCGTAATAACTTTTCAGCATTCAAGCATGTGTGGATCCTAGGATGAAAGTTAAGAATAAAATGTCATTTGAAGATGAAAGATGCACTTAATACTCTAAAAACAACTTTATTTGTTATATAAGATTGTAATCTTTCCAGTCCCTCTTTGGTCAATATCATCTTACATCCCCAGAGTTTGAAAAACACATTCTATGTATTGACTACCAGTTTTTGCAAACAGAAATCAAAGAAGAGATTCTTTTCCCCCAGAGGCAAAGACAGCTTTAGGGCTGTACTTGGCCATGAGTTTAAAAAACAAAAAACAAAAAAACAAGTTTCAATTTTTCCTTCTACCCGGGATGAATGGCCACTCTGAGAAGTATTTGGGATCTTCAGATGAAAATGGTAGTAATTCTTCAGCTTATTTTATGGAAACTTTATAAGAAAAAAAACTGTGGAACACTAAATAATGCAAACAACAAATGTTATTAATTTAAGAACAGTTGCCTATCTTTGACCTTATAAAAATTTGATTATCTTAATGAAAGTCAACTACTTATAAGAGAATTGTTTTATTGAGCCAGTGCCTATGATACTTTCCCACAGCAAAATGGAAGGTGCCTCTTTAGGCTCCTTAGCACCCATGGATGCTTTTGCCTGTATATTTTGTGTAGTGACCAAAACATCTGAAGAAGTATACACCAGACTTCCCAACCAACAGGAAGGATTTGGAGAGAAGAGTTCCTGACTCAGAAATGTATCACTTAGGGATGGTTCATAGGAAATTCTCACCAGAGTTGTCTTTCTCTAAAGAGCTGAAGCCAAAGACTGTAAGTAATTAAATATTTTATGTCTGAAACTATACTTTGCTCATGAGCCTTACTGATAGCTTGACCCTCACACTACAGAGGTGAGAAAAGAAATCCAGAGGGGACATGTGCTTTGTTTTAGTAATATAGTTGCCTAGTGTTCAAGCCAGAATGAAACCCATGTTTCCTGACTCTAAATCCCAGGACTCATTCCATATTTGTACATTATCTATGGTGTTATCATTTCTGCCTTTACATGTCTATACAACTCGATAACACATTGCTACAACTCAGTAATGCGCCCTGGAATCAGCAGCTCTCAGAGATTCCTAAAGAGTTCCTCCCTACCTGCCTTCCAAACTCCTCTTTAGGGGCTGTAGGTTTCAGTATGCCCTCTGCAGGCGAGAAAAAAAAAAAATCTGTTGCTTGTTAAGTCAAGGGGCCCAGACCAGGGCCAGTCACGGGTTGAATCTACCTTGAGGAGTTTGGAAATGCTGAACATCTGCTGAGTTCTCTCTGAGGCCCCTAGAGGAGGAGAGTTTACCCAGGGCCAGCGCATGCGTGCTGGGCAGCACCTCCAAGCAAATCCACGCCCCAACAGAGCTGGGCTTTTGGTTCAAGGTGGTGAGTAAGGGTTAAAAGCATGAGCTATGGAGTAGCATTGCAGAGTTCTAACTCATGGATCTGCTTTCTAATAGCTTCATTGCCTTCAAGTTATATAAATATTCTGTGTCTCAGTTTCTTCTTTATAAATTGGAGATAATAGATAATAATCTAGCTTCTAGCATGGTATATGAAATTTAAATAAACTAATGCATATGAAAAACTTAGCCTGGGGCCCAACAGAGAAGCATTGGGGCCATGACTGGTACTGTGAATATAACTGCTACTCTTCTGAAATGAAACCATTTTTAACTATAAACTGGACTTTGTGATTTTGCCATCCAGTATGTTTTGGAGCCTAATTAGCCAATGTTTTCTTTTTCTTTTAATTTTTAGAACATTTGCATGATACCATGAACAAATAATTTAGGGAAATGGCGCGTGAGTGTGAGAGTGTGTGTGTGTGTGTGTGTTAATTAGCTATTAGTTTAAGAATATATCCCAAGTATCATAGTTAATTACCCTGTTTGAAAACAGGTTGAGCATTTCACCTATAGTACTTCTTAGAAGCCATACATTCACGTTGAAAGTACAGTTGTTACTTTGGAGCTGTTCCCTTCAGTACCTTGGGCTTCATTTAATGAAACCCTTTTATAGTGAATATCTAGGCACTCAATATGGATTGGCCAAATATCCTCTTGGAAGTGTTACCTCTACACTGAAAAAGAGAGGTCTTGTTAAAGGGTCATGAGAACCAAAAAAACCTGCCTCTTAATAGTGGGGAACCATAGAACAAAACTGCTTCACCCCTTCCAGGAAAGTGCAAAGTCGCCTGTCCTCTTACCACGAACTCTTCCAAAGTCTGATAGGTCTTGCCCCGGAACTCGCAGTAGTTCTTCCTCTCCTTGCATTGCGGGCAGCACTGGCTCGTGTCGACGTGGATGCAGCGCGGGTGCAGCCTCGGGCATTCAGGCTGTGCGCACAGCGGCCCCTCCTCGGTGCACAGGCATGGGCAGGCAGAGGGACCCGGCGCGAACTTCTCCCCAATAGCGTACACGAAGCCACTCTCGTCTACGCAGCCCTTCCCTCGGTAGTCTGGGTACGCATACTCCTCAGGCAGCTCTGGCGTAGGCGCGAGTTCCCGGCTGATCGCGTCCTGGGCGGCTGCGGCCGGGATCTCCCCTTGGGGGGTGTCCCCGCGAGGTCGGACCTGCAAGTCCGCAGCCTTGGCGCCCCCGCCTTGGACACCCCAGGCCTGCTTCTGCTTGCTCCACGCTTCGCGGCTGGAGAACCCACGGTTGCTCTTGCTCTTCCAGTCCCGGGCACTGCTGCCCTCGTCTCTCGCTGCGCGCCCGAGCTCGCTCACTCGCCCCGGGCCGTCCCGAGACGCGTGCTCGCGCTTCTCCTGGCCCGGCTGCTCTGGTGCCTGGGCCAGCTTCTCCAGAGGGATGCTCGGACTGCAAAGAGCCACCATCAGGCAGCAGGTGACCAGAAGGGAACTGGAGAGCGCGCCAACTGCCATCGCAGTGGAGCTGGGCATCCCCTACCACGTCCCGGCGGGCGGGCGGGCGGGGAGCGCGGACACAGGGAGAGTCGCATTCACAGCCCGGGAGCGCGCCGCCGCCAGCCGGGAGCCGCCGTCCCTGCGGAGAGAACAGCAGCACAACTGAGCCCCACGGCCCGCGCGCGCCCCGGCCGCCGCGGCCCCCACCCGGCCCGGTGCCGCCCGGGCTCCAGCATAGCTCTAGATTAAAGAGCTGGACGCCGGAGACGGAGGCAGCATGCTTAGCGTCAGTGCACAGCTGGGGTTCTTAGACATCGCAAATTGTGGAGGAATACACTGGAAGCGAAGTCCAAGAAATATACCGGCCGTCGGGGTCTTCTGTAGTGGTGAAGAGTGTTGGAGATTGTCACCGGCGGCTTGAGGAGCTAGGGAATGCAGCGAGCCGGGCCCGTGCCCGCCTGCAAAGCTCATACAGAAACCACATAATTCAAGCACACTGGTTGTCCCTCCCTAGGTCCTGGCCCTATTTCTTCAAGGTTATTAAATGGAAAATTCTGCAGTGGAGCTGGACACTGAATGGGCAGGAAGATTAAAGGGAAACCTTTTCTCTCTTGCCCTAAGGGCTTCTGCTGGGGAAAGCGGGGGGGGGGGAGCGGATTAACAAGGCTTCTCCTTAGACCCCGTGACTCATTCGTAACTTCTTAAATGCCTCCTGTCCGGGGAGCACAGGCTTTCTATCTTTTCTAACCCCTGCTGCCCGAAGGATACCCCTCTCTCTTCCGGGATAGCGGAATCGGGGATTCCCAAGGCATCTGTTCCTTTGCCAGCCCCCGGCGCCCAGCCCGTCACGGGCGATTAGAGCTGTGATTCAAGGCTGGGTAGCCAGCCATAGCGCTCAGTCTTGGAAGTGCTTTTACCCGGGAGGGGTCCTGGTGATAGAGTGCCCAGAAACATTGAGGTGGACGGTGGGGGAAGTATGGGCTCCAGCACGCAAAGTGGGGGTAAGAGTATCTCACTTGGAGGGATGCCAACCAACCTTTCTGGGATTCAAAGTTTGTATCACCCAAAGGAGCATAGAAAGCCCCTATCACTGCTATGCAATTGCAACCCAACCTGGCTTCCCTAAACGCCCACCCACTCTAAATGCTCCAGTGCGCTTGTCCTCCTCCCCCTCAACCCTCTCCATTAGGGTTGTCATACTCGCTCTCTGCTCATTCCTAGCCCCAGTCCAGCAGACCTTAACCCGGGGTGAACCTCCCATATTTACAAACTTGGGCTGCGGGGAAGTGAGGGTTCACCCCAGCAGCAGGGCGTCGTCCCAGCGCGTGGGGCGCGGACACCCAACATGCACCCTCATCCCTGAAGACCAGCGCCCAGTCTACATACATGAGCATGGGACGCCAGCCTGACGCCGGGCTCGCGGTGGGGGCAGCAGCGGCGGGCGCAGCCCTGGGGCACCAGTGCCCATCCTCCGGCCAGCAGGGGACCCGCGCGGGGCGGACCACGGAGAGCGCAGTCCCACCTGCGCGCTCCACCTGGCGCGTGCACCGGGTTAGGTTGTCTGCCGGGGCTGGCGCATCCCCCTGCCAGCGGCGGGTTGTCCTGGTCCCAACTCGCGTCAGTGCCTGCGCCGCCCTCCTCCGCTCATCCCAGGGTCTAGTCCCCGCGTCTCCACGACAAAGAGCGCCTTGGGGACCTCCAGACTCCCGGCCTCGCTCTACTCCGCGGGCGGGTTCGGGAGTTCTCCAGACCTAGAGGCGGGGATGTCTGGGCAGCCGCCCCGCGTCGGAGGAAGAGGAGAAGCCCGGAGCGCGTCTGGCGGGCGAGTGGTACGCAGGATGCCGAGTACCCGGCTCACCCGCCTCCAGCCTCCCGCCTCCTGTCGCAGCCGTCTTCCGCCCAACTCGCGCCCAGCTCCTCTGCTGCCCCCGCTCGGCAGGCGTAGCTGCGACGGTCTGAGAGAAGACCTTCTTCCGCACGCGTTCTCCTTTTGCGCCGCTCGATTCACCTGTCAGGCTAGCGCGAGGCGGTCTGCTCACCTCCCTGGTGGGCAGCCAGCACTGCGCAGGCTGCCTTTCTCCAGGCTTGTCACTCACTCTCCGATGGACCTTTCATCTTTCTCTTTTCTTCATTCTTTAATTTCTTCCTCTCTAACTGGCCCCCTTTCGTTTTCCGCTTTGTGGACAGCTGCTTTTGCCACTGTTGAAAAACGCAACCAAATTGTTCAGTTTGGGATGCGAAGACGGTATTGACTTAGATTGTTGGGAAGTTTTTATCTCTCTTTACATTCAGAAACCCAGAGGTATAGACGCATGAAAGTACGAAACTTCACAAAAATCCAAACAATGTGCTTTCTGAATCTCTGCTTTGCTCTCTCTTCTACCACAAACAAACATCTTTGATTAATTTGTTAGAATGCTAAATGTTAAGTGGAGGACTGTGTGGACTAGGCTTGTGTTTACTCTTTGCTCTTGATCACAGAGTGCGCTTGGATTACAGAGAAAAGGTCAATGGTCCTGTTCAAATTAACCTATGAAATGGAATTTTTATAGACATGTTCATTTTCAGGGCAGTGGTTACTATGCACGGTATTTTGGAATCCTTGAAAATGCTCTAATGATAAACACTATCTTTCCTAAAAGCTCAGGCAGGACTTTTGCTGGAGGGTGGAATGTGATTTGGGGTTACTGTCTCTCACCCCTTTATCATGTTCAAATCAGGCTTAAATGAGGTGCTAGAAAGAACAGGAAGACTTGGAAATCCTGGGAGAGAAGTTACAGGGGAAGAAAACAACAATAACAACAACAACAAAAATAAAAAAGTAAAGAAGACAAAACTAACTGTGGTCAAGTGGAAGGTTTACATGTCCAGGATGATTTGAGTGCTTCTACCTTTGCTTTTTCACTCTCTTTTCTTCTGCTCATCCCAGGATAAGAGATAGGCCAACTTTGCCTGTGGACTGTAATGGTGGAGCCACCACCTGTCCAATGCTTTTCAGTTCTTTCCAGTACTCTTCCACATGTGCTCTGATCCATCAGTTAGGCTTCTGTGCCTTTATGATATCTTTATTATGAATTCCACAGATTTCACAGTGCCTCCAATATGCAAATTGGGCTAAGAGGTGTGATTATATACAATGTGGGAAACAGGTCCAGAGGGGAGGATCTTGTGACACCATCAAACAGTTTTATAGAATGCAGGAAGTTTTTCTTGTTTGACTTATTTATTAAATAATTCTGTTTCTGTCATTAAATATCCTCTTTGTTTTGTTTAACAAAAAGTCTATGTCTACAGTGGGGTGACCCCAAATGGAGGCAGCTAATAAGAACCTATGATAGTATGTATAAAGCATTCTAACTGAAAATTTGTTTGGGATCTGAAAAAGGGAATAATGATGTCTTTTCGTTGGTTTTGCCTCAATCCCAAGTCTCTTTGAATGAGAAATTGTTCCTTCCAGTCACATTGGAGAGCCACAATATGAGCTATTCATAAACCTGATTTTTCTAACAGATATTCTCAGAGATGGTATGACAGGGCAGATGAGATTAGAGAGGAAGGCAATTACAGAAAGATTTTGTCCTTAGTGAATGAGAACAAGGAACAACACTCATACAGCTTGATTACCCGTGTAACTCGAACGATGGAGTTTGCTAGCATTGAAAGAATTTAAAATTTGTTTATTGACAAAACAATAAATTGTTGCAATCACTCTCCATCCCTTTCTCCATTACATTTTTCTTCCTTTCTTCCTTTCTTCCCTCTCTTCCATCCTCTTCCTCTCTTTCTTCCTTCCTATTTGTTTCTCAGGCTACAGAAGTGAAAGGCAGAAGCAGAATGATCTGTGGTCAGGGAATATGATGATGTGAGTCTCATCCAAGTTCCACCAGGTTTTGGTTTTGCAACATTGGATACGCCACCCAGTGTTATATAGGGTCTTTATTTTTTTTAAAAGGAAAAAGAGAGAATCTCTGAATGGAGAGGAAACCTTACATGCCCTGGTAACATGACACATTTCTGCCATCATGCCATTTTAAATCCAGTTTATTACTCCCATTTTTCTTTCTTTGTGCAAGAGTTAAATCAGTCAGCTGAAACACAACCATATTCCAAAGATAGTGTGAGTGTGTGCTGGGTCTCAGGTCCAGTCCTCAGCAAAGCAGAGCAGGTAGGTTTCAGGCAGGATTAGACTTCCACTTCAAAGACTGGTCACCTTTCCCATGCCCTTAGGCAGAATTGATCTTACCTTCCTCTTCTCTGGTCTGTTACAACCTTTTTAATAGTTGACTTCTTCATTGCTCTGAGGTATCTGCACTCACTCTGAAATAGCATCTTACTAAAGAGCTGGGGCTATGCTTCATTTATCTCTCTATGCTTTGCACCTAGGATCTTCAGAGGACTAAATAAGAAGGGAAGGAGTAAAGAAGGAAGAGGGGAATGGAAGGAAGAAAGGGAGGAGGGGAAGGGGAGAGGAAGCTGTGGTTTGAACTCACGCAGGAGTTTAATCTCCAAAATCAGATGTTTAATTTATGAAGAGGGTAGAAACTTAACCTGATTCTGGTTGGCACTGTGGTGGTAATGGGGGCATGATTTGCATTCGAAAATGTCATTAGAATAGGATTGCACCCTGTGGCTTTATCAAAAGGGAAAGAGACCAGATAGATGTTCATACATTCCCTGTCTCTCAACAAGTGACTCTCTGTGCTACCTTGGGACCCTGCCAACAAGAACCCATTGCCATTGCCTAGACTGTACCTCCAGAACCATGAGCCAAAATAAATTTATTTTCTTTGTGAAGTAGCCAGCCTTATTAATTTTCATACAATAACTGGAAATGGACTAATACAGAGGGAGGAGGGAGGGAGGAAGAAAAAAGGTAAAAACTGGGCAAAATTTGCTTATCATCTACACATTGTTGGGTATATTCATAACCATCTCATTCAGCACCTTGAATTTTGAGGGTCTTTCAAGACCTCTATTATTGTTTCCTTTTTTTCAGTGAAGAACTATATCTCAAAGAGATTTTGACTTGACTAAGATTATACAGCTCAAAGCCAGGTTGACCCTGAAGCATGATATTAGAGTTCCATAATCATGTTCCAGCCCTGCCCAACTGCTGTCTGGGAGAAAGTGCTCTTTGAATTATTCATTGTGTTAATTAATATGCCCCCGCTTTGTTTCCCTATTCTGCCCACACTATACAAGTTAACCTACCAGGCCTTTTACTCATCAGGCTGCAGAGAAGCAATGCACAGGCTGTTGTTACCCTTGAGGTTGGTTGCTGAGATTTTCCCAGCTGCACATCCTCAGGCTAGTGGCCATCTCTTAACAGTTTCAGTGGATAAGAGGATGCCAATGAATCAGGGAACAAATTAAGAGATGCCTGGCAGAGAGAAGGTACTTTAATGGAAAATGAGACCCTAAAGAAAAGGAACCAAGCAGCAGGTTCACCTTGGAGGAAGATGCAAAACAAGGTGCTTTAGGATAGGATTCACATCAGAGCCTCTATGGACAATGAAATAGATAAGATACCAGAAAGCTTGGATCTGCTCAAAGGAGGTTGTGACAAAATCATCTGCTGGAATTAAAAGTAGATAAGAGATGGTGTGAAATAAAATATGGTATGAAGTTAGGATTATTGGAAGATGACCCCCACAAGTAGAGAAGGCCTCACGGGGAATGGAAAGCAGATACAGGGAAAGAGCAAGTACCTTCTGCATATTCTCAACAATGAAGATTTGCTTGGGGATACAGAGGTGAAATATCTTTAGGAGTGGCAGTGGACAGACATGGCACCCTGACAGTGGGCCTGGCTGTTGTGGATGGGGAAGCACCTTGTAGCTTCCAAGGGATAGGAAGCCCTCTGGGAACTCATGCTCCAGGTACAGTGACTGCAGCAAGGCCAGCAAAAATAAAGAGGGTTCCTCACCTTATCCTTCAGACTGCCTAAGGCCCTGCTCAAAATAATAACAGGTGCTTACACCTGTTTACACCTTTGACAAAGCCACATTCAATTTGAATTCTGGACTTGAGCCAGTGAAGGAAATGCTGTAAAACCTTCCTCTTTCCAGGTTACATGGAATAAAAACCACTTCCACCTGAAATCAGGTCAGCGGGACTTTTGTGGTTCAGGCAGAAGGTTGACCATTCCCTCAATTTAATGAGTGGAAGAAGCCACTGTTAGTGCTCAGATGGCTTTTTATGGATGTACACAGAGCCTGCTTGGCTGTTAAGGGAGCCACTAATTAAAGTTCTGCTCTGGAGCAAACTAGGAGCCACTAATTAAAGTTCTGCTCTGGAGCAAACTACCAGTTGAGAGAGCAACAGCTCCATTACTGCTTACACTTTTGATACATGCCTGGGTTTGAGAGTTACTGTTCCCTGCGCCGACCCGCCTCACAGGCTGCCTGATTACAACGCACCTTGGGGACTCATCCCTTCTGCTATGATGCCAAAAGTCAGCAGCATCTGTTCAAATAATCAAATGGATGACTCAGAGATATTCTTCTAAAATCAGTCCCCAAAGCTTGCTCCTTGAAAGGGGTTTCTAGGGATCCATTTTTAATATACCACGGAATCATTCACTGTATGTGCATCACAGACCGCATCAATACTGATGGGTAAGAAAGTTTTGAAACAATTATTATGAAACAAGGGCTGATTGGAGTTTATTGGTCTAAGAATTGCAATAAGCAGATTGCTTAGAATTGTTGGGACTGCTGATGGCATGTCATGGTGATGCTTTTGAAAAGGATCCAAGTGGGTCAAGCAGAGTAAGGACCTTGAATTGTATCACTCAAGATTTTCCTCTTTCCTTTGGATGGTTCCAAAGTTCCAAAGGTGGCAGTCTATTCAAAGT